GAGGGGGTATCTTGGAATTATGCCCGACTTTACAATTTGCTATTCAATTCCTAAAATTTTTGTGCACCATGAGGTGGAGAAAGACACTTATTTATTGCTTACTTTAAAACGACCGTTTCTCAATAAATGGTAAGCTGGTGATAAAGACTATTTGAATAGTAGTAGAAGTGAGAAGGTTTCCCACAATTTCGTTTTAGTAGTATATATACTCAACATTTTACGTATTAGTAATATGTTATGTAATGAGCAATTTCTATTTGTTAGTGATTTATTACCTGTTCAGTTTACTAGGTGCCTGTCTAAACCAGTGTCTTTTTTTGAAACCGCTTTAGGCCCAATGTGGACGCAACGATAATAGCTGGAAGCGCTTACTGCACAGCTCCTGAGTGTCTACGAAAACTTGCTCCTTACTCTCCGGCCGCCGATATCTTCGCCTATGGACTTCTGGTCTGCGAGCTCATAGCTCGAGTGGTGAATAATGGAAGCACTATTCCTCGAACTTCCGTAAGTTCTCCAGCTACATTTGCCTCTTAGATCGGCTCGTCCTTGGCGAGTGGAAATTCGCTTATGGAAGCTTTAGCCTTCTCCGCTCTCATCTAGAAAATAAGTTTCTCAATGCTACATGTTGGTTGATTAGGTAGTTAATAACTCCCAATGCCATCAACTACGCATAAGCACTTTCTTCTTTCTTAATAGGATGATAGAAGACTTTCGTTTGTGACCACTGTGCTACATACTTCTATGGATTAGTAACTGAATTTTATGTCAGAAAAGATTAGTCGACATTCTTTGGTCTTTGACTCTAAATTTTACACTGAAATTTCACGCAACTCACTACGTTTCTACTCTGGTCTAACAAGATTAGACGTGTGCTAAATGTTCACTATCTGTAAATTATGCATTAATTTATTACTTATAACTCAACTTTTTCAAACCTCGCATTAAATTTTGTTTTTCCTTTCTACAGGATTTCGGGCTTGATAAGGAGAACTTGTATGTGCCTGAGGACTGCCCACAGTGGTTCCTCGAATTGGCAGTTGATTGCTGCAAGGTTAACCACCTGGAACGACCCTCAGCTGAAGAGATTATGGATCGAATCATAAGCCATTCCATCGACCAATCGTTTATTGGACCGCGAGCATTTACTTTCAATTCCTTTGAAGAAGGTACGTCCCCAGACCGAAGCTCTCTCAAATGCTTTGCAGGACCAACCCTCCATAGTAACGGTGGTCAACAGCTACCACCACCAGCTACGGTCCAGCCAGACTGTCTTGGTTAACTCAATTTCTATTGCATAAAGTTCAAATTCCCTTTGATCTGTACATGAACTCTCCTATCGTAAGCTCTTGTTAAATCATGTCACTACCTATTTATAGGTTTAAGTAGTAGTTATTTTTCATTTTAGTCACTAAAAGAAATCGAAAACCGATTCCCTTCCTACATTCCTGTTCATTTAGATGTTCATTCCCTTTGTATAGTTTTACCTCTACACTTATCTACATGGGGAACTGTGTACCCTCTTAACTCGTCTTCATTTCATGAAGAAAAATTATTATTCCAAGAAAACAATATTTCCGTTTCCTCTTTTGTGTATTTCTCTCATTCTCTTGAACTTCTACCAACTGACTGGTAGGAAGGAAAGAGCTGTTATTGAATTTACTTTTTATTATTTGTTACACTTTCGTGTTCATCTGGCTTATGAGTGTCTTGTGGGATCGGCTTCTTTGTTATCATTGATAAGTCAATGGAATACCACTAGAGTATAAATTCAATCTAACTTATAGGAGGCGAAGTGGAGGTGTCGTATAGATATGAAGACCAAGCAGGAATTTTGCCCATTGATAAAATCGTGAAACTTTTCACCAATTTTCCTTAATGGGTTGTTGAAAACTTGTTGTTCAATTTTTTAAAATTGAGCTATTCATTCATTTTTGGTTGTAGAGTTCTGTAGGCTACATTCTGTACTGTAGTCCTGCCAGGTGTTGTAGTTCAGTTGCTATGATACTAACTGTACGCTTGATATTACTAGACCGCGAAAGGAATTCAGATGGTACAGAACAAGCCAAGTATTCAAGCTGAAGTCATGTTATTGATGTCCAGATATCAAAATGCTGTGAACTGATGACACCTGTGTATACCTCAAGAAATTGTCAAGCTGTCAGGAGGAATGTGCGTCTTCGTCTTGGTAGTGGTATTGTGCAACTTAGGCACAACTTGAAGAAATTGAAAAAAATAACTGACAAACAAGAAATGCTGTCACCATAGCTGTTAATTTGTTGTCTTAATGTTATTGCTCATGAAATGACTAAGAACTTTTTTAACATTGTAAATTATTGCAATTTTTTCTTAATAAAAAATGAGTTTAACAAGGCATGAAATGAAGGAGAGGACCACAATAAGTGATTGGTGGTAGAATCATTAGGTTACAGGCTTTAATTAAATGAACCGACAAAATCTATTTTTTCCTCTTATCTTCAATAAGAGAATGAATAAGTCATTCATATTCTCCTTTCTGATATCTCATTAATTTTTCATTCATAGTCTCTACAATCTACCTTTCCACTTTTGCAACACCAAGTTACTTGAAAGTGAACTAAGTGGTTACTGTGATGGTGAAGTGTAGAGAATGATTTTAGCGCTTTGATAGTAAACTTTGCTTATTTAATTGTGAAAAATAAGTTCACTCATGACCCATTATTGAAACGTCTTTCGCAGTCGCCTTCGCTTTCCGAATCACTTACCATCATTATTTATTTCTACTGAATGACAGGCTTTATGCTAGTAATCATGAGCCCTTCAATTGAGACGTTGAACTTCACCCAAAGGGGGGAGGAACATCAAAGTCACAAAGTCTCGAGGGAGGGAGGGGGGGGGGCGGGGGGGATTATACACTCAACCCACATGCCCTCTATGTAACCTACAGGAGGAAATGGAGAAGACCCACCTGATTCGGTGTCCAGCCCTAAAGACAAGGACGGAAAGCCAAAAATACTGGGAAGCAAGAAGACTGCTAATGAACTGCTATTAATTAACTGCTATAAATGTAGCCCCAGCCTTGGGGGAAGCTGAAGTCTAAGTTTAAGGTCTAATGATAAATATCACAAAGCCTGCCATTTGAAATAATAATGATGTTTGGAAGCTCTTGGAGATACATTGAGGGGAATCTCACGGGAAAATAGATGGGCACCGCTTCGTTGACAGGGTGTGTTTGCCCACATATGGTAGATGCAATCTATTAATTTGCTGGTTACTTTGTGACGAACAAGATGAAGAAGAAGAGGAGGATATTGGATGAGTTTGTGAGTTAGGTAGAAAACTCTTCCACAAAATGCATTTGGTGGAATGGTATTAATGGTAAAATTAAGCTTCAATACCAAGAAGTTTTTTATGTTAGGAATGTGTAAATGACAGAAAAGCTCGTTAGACCGTGGCTCGCAACTAACCATTGTCAGAAGTCGGAAAGTCGAAATTAAGTGCTAGTTAACTAAAATCGAACAACAGTAAGTTAAGGGGGTGACCTATTTGGGAAGACAGGTTCAAGATGCAATTGTTAGGCAAGAATGAGGGATTAATGATCGCCTTCGATGCAAAAGATAAATTGTTCACTGAATGATACTAACAAGCTAATAAACTGGACAGAAAATCAAAAAAGCAACTTTGATACTGCACTAATATGCTTTTAATTTTCAGTGCACCACGGAGCCCATACCTCATACCACCTCATACATAGCTGCGGATTTACAGAGGTTGGCAAAAACAGTGAGAGGTAGCAATAAGGTGTTTTTGCAATCAAATTCTCACGGATTTTTTACACGCTATTGCGCGCTCGGATGCGGTCAGCCAATTGAGTAACCAGCATTGCAGTCAATCTAAATCGTTTTAGAATGTAAGCACATCTAGTTCATGTGAATATTAGGCGTTTTAACCAAATTGAACAACTGTTAATTCGCAAAGAAGTAAACGTTGCATTGGCGTTTCAAGTAGTAATTTTGGTAGCGAGAAAGCCACTAAGATATTCAATTACGGAAGTGAGTGAGAAAATGTCACAAGGGAAAATCAAATAAAAGTGAATGAGAAATGGAAGTCAAATAGGAGTGCATCGTGATTTTATAGAGGCAAGTTTCATGTTCCATTGGCACTTTGTGGCCACAGATTTGCACGCTTTCTCATAAGTTGAATAGATGCATCTCTATATAGTCATATTTTGTCAAAATCAAATTACTTTCCTTGCCCGACACCACATACAGAAGCCTGGACTATTGCTTAACAAACCGCACTACCAAAGGCTGACTTAATAGTGCCAGAAAAAAATAGAAAGTATAAAATAAATAACGCTAAACCAACTCTGAACTGTCATAAAGCGAAGTCATTGAATGCAATCAAGGTCACGCTAAGCTACGAAACAACGACTATTGATTGCTGAGAGGCTAACGCGCACAACCCCACTTACTCTCGATGAGACCCATAGCGTGACGTAATTTCCATGATGTTCAAGAGCGCATAGGATTCCTTTCATCGACTTTGGTAGTCTTGTGAGTTCATGCCCTCGAAATGAGAAATAATTGAATCCTGAAGCTAGGAGTCTTTGTCCCATCTTATTTGACAAAAAACTACCGAAGTATACGTCGAAAGTTATATATGTGTAAGGTAAGAATATATGGATAGCAGGTCAAAGTCAAATGTGCCAAAGGAGAGGCTTAAAATCACCGCAAATGGTGATGTCAATTTTTTAACATTGGACTCCAAACAGTAAGGCGGCGAGTTCTAGACATTTCTAAACACGTTTACCGGATCCTTTAGTGTTTCTGATAGACGGTCAAGTTGGTGAGACAAAAATGTTTCGCCCTTGGTGAAACATTCTCGATTCAGGAGGTAAGGGCTAACAATACAAATGCGGGAAAAATTTCTCTTCAGCTCATGTAGTAATTGGCTCAATTTTGCGCGTGAGGTCTTTAACTTTACCAAAGACTAAGCAAATAAACAGTGGTACCTTAGATCCCAAGTGTAACTCGATTTCAGCTATTTTCCATTGATAAAAGTGGTTAAGCGTAATAAGGAATGATATCACTAGTTGGGCACCTGATATCTCAAAAGTAAAGAGATCAAACTTATATTGCATTGAAAGAATAGAAATAGTAGACACTTTAGAGCAAAAAATCATTCTTATGTAGAAATGATAAACATCACTCGTAGATCACACAAAGTAAAGTTGACTACACACGCAAAAAAGTTTCGATTTCATCAAGCGGCCTTAGGTGGTAAGGGTGGCTTCGCATTAGACTCCTTGTTTACATCTTCATTACCCGGCTGCTCTTCCTTAGCAGCGTTTTGACTTTTTTCAGGTGGCTGAAGATTTCCTTCGGCCGGTTCTCCTTTCACCTCTTCTGGTGCCTGCGCCTTCAGATCACTCTCCTTATTAGCGTCATTTTTAGATTTTGCATCGGCGGCGGGTTGTTCAGGTGATTGAACTGATTCAGCTTGGCGCGCGGGTTGATGGAAAAAGACGACCTAGAAGACGAGTAAAAGTAGGAATAAAATCAATAGAAACATAGGGAGAGCAGGATAGAAACTATCGTGCTTCGAATCAAATGACCTTCATTGCTGGTGGAATATTTGCGTCAGGAGAAGTACCCTGCTAGTAAATAGTAAGTGGCAAAAGGAAGTACCTCCAAGATGAGCAAAATGCACGACTTGTGGTAGTCAAAAAGAGACAAAGGTGATACATAACTTTAAAAAAATTAAAAACACTTATTTACAACCTATAATTAGAAAGAAAGCGACCTTCAATTTTAGTATTATCACGGGATAGGATGAATAACCGTATAAGCAAACTAGAAAAAATAATACTAACTTGAAGAAATAGTGACAAAGAGATTCTATCGAAAAAAAACATCTAAACAAAATCTGCTTAAATCATTTAGATAAACGGTTGGATAACAAAAAACAACTTATTCTTATCCAATGAAAAGATTACTTCTGCTACTAAGCGGCCAATAAAGTTATAATACCTACTTAAAGAAAAAAGTAGTAATTGTAATTCCATAATTCTAAATGGAACCCGAACGAAATTGAATTACAGGGCAACTTAAAAAAACAATCTGTCAACTTGTTACAATAATTATGTTTCTAAAAGTTTTCCTCCGTGAAACGCTAAAATATCACAACATGTAAACAACCACCCATGAGCTATCCGACGTGTGACTGTGGTTAAATAAAACAATTGAAAATGGGATAAGGCAAACATCAATATTGATGATATTTGATTATAAATTAGCAAAGTAAAGATCATTAATTTCTGCAATGATAACACAATATTATAACAACAAAGCAAAATAACTTAAATGTGTGAAATACAATATAACTATCGAGCATAATAGATATGAGACGCATTAGATAATCAACCCGTAAGTTTAATTTCTTTAAACAAATTAACTTGGGAAACAAATGCACCTTATTCGGCTTATAAATACTAACGCCCAAGCCAACTTAGGAAACGTTTACCAACACTCCACTTGGATAGACAGGCAGTACCGGGGAGTCGTAGTGGAATGAAATTCGAAAACTAACATATTTTGTGGTAGCCAGGTTTAGTCAGTGAGAGATCAATGGTTTTTGGGGCTAGTTGTGTGCGCCGATGGGCAACGAAGACTTAACATCTAGTTTCAAGGATGAATTGGAGCAAATACTACATTAAAACTGTTACCGGGCTAATCGAAACGACGAAAAAAGGGCAGATATAACTTAAAATAAGCATGAAAAGAGGTCATAATGTCATAAGTAAATCAACTTACTGAGAGAGACACCGTCATGATGAGATGAGCAACAATGATAAGAACCAGGAGTCCAAACGCAAGCTTAAATAAAAACGAAAAAGGTAATGATAAAATTAAAAATCCCAACTAATCAGATAAAACAGTGGCAAACTACTTTCTTTCGCCGTTGTTTAAAAGTGGACCACGTTGTCGTACACAGAACAATGAGTGAAATAACACAAGCAACTCCAATAAGAGTGTACTGAAGATAACTACCTGGAATACAAAGCAACACCTAAAAGAAGGAAAACAGGAAACGGTAAAACAGCTAAAAGTATTAGAATTGGAAGAGAAGTGATAACTACATACAGCAGCTGGTATGAAAGATATCATTGAGTACCCATAGATAGCAAGAAGCTCCGTAAACAGTGAACCAAATTTCGGTTTGGGCTCATCATGCACAACCTCAATATCTGAAACGGCACTTTGACGTTTGAAATATATGACTGACGTCAAAACAGCAGGAAGAACACACCAGTAGAGGAAGAGCAACGTAGTTGAAATCGTTACTAAAATAGACTCAGATTATGATACACATTAAATATATCAGAGCTAAATAAAACCAGTCATTCAAACCCACCCCGACCAAAGTTAAATGTAGATAGAGCAGCTGCGTCTTTTGACTGAATATACTCATGTATACTTCCAGAGAACGCAACCGAGAAAATTATGGTTACAGTAATCCAGAAAGGGCCATAGAGATCCGGATTTGGTTTCAGGGAAGCGGCAAGGGAGAACCGTTTAGAGAAAGGGATAAGTCCAGACAATGATCTTTGCACAACCTAAATGTAAAATCATTTTATGTTAAAAACTCATAATTTTTAAATTAGCATTTCTAATATTAAATAAAAACCTGATACGTATCCACATCAAAGTACGTTCTGTAGTAATCTATCGAAAACTTCGAGGTTGAAGCAGAGGGACTATCATTATTCTAGAAAAATTTGAAAAAAGTACTTAAATTACTTGAACAGAGTCTTCCTCATTATCTACAAGATCGACATCATCGAATTGAGGATCCGATGGAACTGGGACGTAACCTCCAACCGGCATAGCGATTCGACGAGTTGGAGCCTTGCATTTATCGCAAACCACTTAACGCATTCAATGACAATCTCATTTTCTAATTATGTTTATAATCAATTAATAACATCCATTCTTTCAATGGAAAATTTTATTATAAATTTATGAGTATAGTAACTCTCGATAAGTAATTAAGAGAACAATAACTTAATAAATATATACTTTTGTGCCTGTATCTAGTTTTTCAGTGATCAATGAGACAATAATAATACAAAAACTTCAATAACTTTGTAAAACTTTCCGTAAATAATCGCCTCAATTTAGTTATAACCTTAAGTCTACGAAATCATTACAGAAATAATAAATTTTAAAGTGAATTCATTCAGTCGCTGTATTCAATCAATCAATCTTATAAATTATCACAATATGGCCACGGGTCACTTTGTTCAAATATTTCCATAACCTGGACGTTATTCTTTGTTATTAATAATGGGTTTTACAGATTTGACACCTTAGGATATTCCAACAGTTGCCGATTCGTTAAACCTTTATTTCCTCGAATATGGTGGTTGATTCAACGAAAAATCGAATACGCCTTCTTACAATCTTACCATACCTGCTACCATTTTAAAACATGTCTAGTGAACTAATAGTTAGTTCTTGCCTACTTTAGAGTAGAAAATATCATGAAAAGGTTGTCCTTGATGATTTTGACATTTTAATATGATACTCTCATTTTATTTAAAAATCGAGCAATGGTTCCCCATCACTCGAATTGTCTTTCTTAATTGCGACAAGTATTATGGAGATAGGACCATCTGAAACAAATATTAACCAAATGCAAACGTTGTCCATTATCGCATGTGTTTTGATCTTTTGGGCTTTGCCAACTTTCCTTACCGACTGTTTTATTAAATGAGGATTACTTTAATATAACTTGTAGTTAAATGCAATACCAGATGCACTTATCATATTAAAACTGAAACATACCTAATTATAAATAAACATTAATTATCGTGTTCATAAGGTCTAATATTCAACTATTGATAATTTGGTACCTAATACTTTACTTCGTTTTTTAATTAGATACTATATGAAAGAAGAAAAATACATATCGATATATCTTAGACTTAATATCATGCCAAGAATAATTTAAAGCATTGGCAACAAGCCTTGTAATTGTACGTTTATTTGTTTAAATTATCCAGTGTCTTTATAACAATTAGTTAGATAATAACCCAGTAGAAGCTGCGGTTCATTTGACTTTACTTTACTTTGTTGACAGTTTCACCACATTTTCGCAAGCAAAATTTTCTTTTGAACTTTGGATGGAAGTTGAAGTTGAGTACGATTACACTGCTGAAGAAAGGGACGAGCTTACTCTTAAACGGGGAGATATAGTCACGAACGTTTCTCCATTTGAAGAAGGATGGTTTATCGGAACTTTTAACGGAAGAGAGGGCGTTTTTCCGGATAATTTTGTCAGAGTAACATGATTAATAAATTTTATGTAAACGTGCTTTTAGATACTGAAACCTGCTTCAAACAAAGTCAACCAGGTATGATCAACAGCATTTAAATTTTTATAAATGCTTTTTAATCCGTGCTTTCGAATTTTTCCAATAGTATAATCATGCTATTTGCGCCTAAATACCATTATTAAGCGCCTTATATTGAATTTTCTTTTCATTATTTCATTATATATTTTAATGCTTATCTAACACTTGATGTTTAGAATGACAGGTCGAGGTCTACCCCTGTCCCTAATCCGTCTTCTGCCGTTCATAGGGATGGAAAAGATCAGGTATACTGACTTTTGATATTTTACTATAATATGAATTTAGTTGGAATTTTTGTAATTAAGTGCCGAATTGCATATTTTCTTATCTCATCTTTTTACTTTATTTTCTTCATAGGTTGTGAAAAATGACAAAAACCAGCGTAAGCATAATCTTAAAAAATGTTCTGTTCTTTTAAATTTTATAATCATAACTTATCTGCCACCTCCTAGAACATTCCATTACTTCAGATTTTTCGTAAGCTCTCTCTGCCAAAATCACACTCCTGTTGTGTTTTTTTATTTTAAATTAAATGACATCAGTTTACTTGCTTCGCTAATTTTATGTTGTCTGTGCCTCTATGTGAATGAGCTCGCTTTCTTGTCTCATATATATTATTATCCCTTGATTCATCTTTTGCATGATTTATTTGATTTCTTGTTCCACATTCAAAACTCACCATTAAGTCATCATATATTGTTTGGTTTTAAGCATTTGCCTCGCTTTGTTATTTCTATTTTCTACTTTATCGTAACTCGGTACCCGCACAGTCCTAGCAAAATGTTAATATTTTGCCCCACTTTAAAAATTATGACTTAATTATCTAATGTCTGTAAATTGAATATGGACTGTATGCTCTACGACTTTTCAAATAGGTGAATCGGAATTCATAACTTTAGTTTTTACCAATCGCCACCACGTCTAAATCACTGTCACTGATGAGGTATCGGTATCTTTGTACATTTAGCACGACTTCCTTGATATCTTTGTATCGATTTGTCCATACACTCCTTTGATAGCTTTCACGATCTTTGCAATTGAATATATTATCTTTGAACGCCCGACAACTTGCTGCTAAATGGTACGGGGTTCGGATTGAAATACTTAAACAACTTTGTAGGACATCCAATTTTAAGTAAAAATATGAGTTGAACAATGCTATTTAATAAATGTGCCATTTGCTGGTATTTTTGAGCATGGCTTCTTGGGGCAAAGTATGTACCTATTCTGTTTCGCCCTTTTGAGTAAAATTTGGCGAAATTGTGGCGCTTATTTGTCTTGTGTATTTCAGCTGTTTCTCCAACTCCTACAACTCCAACCATTTCAATAAGCACCAAGGCGTCTGACTATGTGAAGGTAGGCTACGCCTATACTCCAGAACAGCCGGATGAATTGGAATTGGAAGTGAAGGATTTCATTCAGGTGTTGAGTCGGGATCTACCCGAGGAGGGTTGGTGGCGTGGAGTTAACCTTCGCACCAACAAAACGGGTGTTTTTCCCGACAATTTTGTCAAAATGGCTGATGCTAACGATCCCGACTTTAAACGTGTTATTGCTGACCTAAAGGTAAGTGTTTTCTACTCATACTTTATTGGAAATTTATTTGAAACCTTTTTGTGTGTAGGCAAAAGCTGTTGGTTCGCCATCGTCTCAACGAGCTCAGAATGGTCTTTCATCTACACCTAAAACTAATCAAAATAATCCAACAAGTCCTCATGGAAGTAGACGTTATGATTCGGGTGGAGGCAGAAATGGTGAGTTTAATTCGTTTAGCTTGTAAATTTTACGAAATGAATCCGCTGATTTGAATAATCATTCAAAGCTCTAAGTATGTTTAAAAGATAGTTCATAGGACAGGAAATTCACCGTGACATCTTTTTTTAAATACAGCAATTCAGTATAAGTATAAGTGAAAACTTGTGTTCCACTTCTGGTTGTACACATTTTCTTCTTTGATATGAAATCCATTCACTCAATTATTGGAAATAATACTCTTATTGAGCATTCTATTCGGAACTCGTCTCAACTTGCTAAATTCATTAATTTGATTCTGTCTTATTTTTACTTTAGCCTTTATTAAAATGCCATTATTTGTAATTTTGATATCGAAGCTAGTGCTAATTTTAAATAGCAAAAGAAGGGGAAGAATTCTTGGCAAATGTAAAGGTGATGCCGAATATTATTGTGGCACATAATATTGATAAAAATTCCAAAGCCAAGGTGATGATAACATTAGGTCTTTCTGGTGAGGATCCAGAACTAACCCAACCAATTTAGTAGCCAAACTTAAACAATCCAGTTGGCCATTTGACCCACCGGGTGTGCATTGATGGGTTTCAAAATCATGACCTCTGACCTCACAGATAAGCACGTTAACCACTGCACCACTAGTAAAAGTCTCTCTTAATCAGCACTCATACAAAAGCACTTGTGTTTGGGACAGGTCGAAACAAAACTCGCCGCTTATTTTATTTAATATTACCATGATTGAAGTTGACCATTTTCTCATTGCGTTAAATTCTATTTCGTAAATGAATTCTGATGAAATGGGAGCAAAGTGCTCATTTAAATTCTTTAAGTGGTTGACTATCTTACATCGATTCGCTTCTTCTTTTAAATGTCCAAATGAAGGTGGGTATGACAGGCAGATGGCTATTTTTAATATTTTATTCTTTTAAGTTTTTGGGTTTGTGAATAAATATCTTCCTTCTAAAGATGAAACTCTTATGCTATCGCCAAGGAGAGGGAAGCCAACCTTACCAAATCTATGAAAGATAGCTTAACCTCTCCTCTTCTACCTCCAACTATTTGTACTTTTTCTTTGTTGCTTAGAGCATGGAGATAAAAAGAGCGGAAAAGTTACTAATTTAACGGCGTAAATATTAATGCTCTTCTTTGCTCTTTGTAATTGTCCATTAACTGAAATGAACATCTTAAATGGTCTTTAGGTGCGTAACAACTGCATTATGCACTTCAGAAATTTGATCAAAATATGAAATAAGTATCCCATTTGGTAGTTCTTGTTTGGGTCTATAAACGCGCCACTTAACCAATTGAAAATTCCTCTCAATTAACACTTGCGAGAGTTGGAGCAATGGAGCACATGCTGCAGTTTTAGCGGAAAATTAGAGTCCGCACTCACACACATTTCAGTAGCAACATCAGCATTACCGGCAGCGCACACATGAACTTTGAACACACAGAGCTCCCTCTCTCCTTAAGCGCGCACTAATGGTGGAAGTGCACATAGACACACGCACACACACTTCTTGCGTGAAAGGCGAACCTTGGTCCCCTCACTGCGTTGTTTGCTTTACGCAGTTCTGGACACCTCTTCTCACACATTCCAAGTCGATATATTTATGCTTATTTTTTCGAATTTAGAAGAATCCACTTCGATATTTTGGTGTTGTAGCCAATGTACTGATGATGCTGTGGGAAATTGAAATATTCTCACGCACTTCACAATGTATCCAATACGAAACTGTGACGCCAGTAACTTAACAGCGCAGTAACTTAGAGATATATCCTCAGATATTGAGTGAAAAAAGAAGACTTCATCGAAGATCTTTTTCATATTAGCAAAATATCGTTTTGGGGTAAGAGGCTAGAATACCAGAATCGATGTCACCAAATTGCTGGTGAGAGTGAGTGAAATGTGTGAGAGTAGTGGGAGAACTAAGAGAGAGAGAGAGAGAGAGAGAGAGAGAGAAATGGGGGGAGAGGAGATCAATGCTAGTAGATAAATGGCAAGTGCGTCTGCGTGCTTATGTGTCTATAAAAGGAGGCTTTATATTNAAGAGAGAGAGAGAGAGAGAGAGAGAGAGAGAAATGGGGGGAGAGGAGATCAATGCTAGTAGATAAATGGCAAGTGCGTCTGCGTGCTTATGTGTCTATAAAAGGAGGCTTTATATTGGTTTCAAAGAAAACGACTAGTATATGCAGATCGAAAGGTTCTGAATGTCACCGATCCAGGAGAATTAACTCAAACGTCACTTTCACTTGAATGGATTATTCATTTGAGGAGACGTGATGATTCTCGAAGGGAGGTTTGTGATTACCGCTGAATAAGTCACTTCACGTATCATTGTGAGATCATGATGATTGATTGATATCGAATGGCAGGCGTCTTGATGGTTATCATTAGCCCT